GATAATGACCGGTCATTTGGGGTCATTTAAGGTCATTTGAAAAATTTGCAAATGACCAGGTCATTTACCATCACTGGATTATTGCGGGTTAGGGTTTACTAAAGGATCTTTATTCCATGGAAGATTAACATTTCTGAGGGGGTCACCATTCGGTTCCATTTCATTTTCCATTTCATTTTCCACGCGTTCTTCTTCTGGATGGACGTTGTTATCATTAAAAGCATTCCTCTACATATTAATTGCGGTTCATATAAGCCTTGTCTTCTTTGGTCGTTAAAATTTTATTAGATTATTATCATTATTTATTTGTTTATTATAATTTTTTTTTTTATCCTTCTATCTTTAGTACCGGGACGTTATTTCCACACAATCGGCACCAAATATGTTGCAACCTTGGGAGAGACTTGCACTGCAATGTCAATTTAGCTCAGGGTTACGAACATAAACCTGAGAATCGGTGCGTAAAAAAAGTGTGCGTGTGAAGGTAATTTCCACCTATACGATGTATTTGGATGGACTTTATACATAGGTTGTGTGAACAATGATGTATGTGCCGTAAAGTTGATTTATCAAGAATTCGGCTATGTGGCCGATCTGGTTATTATGGCCAAAATTCCAGATGTAGAGTCGGAGGGTTCGGGTTAGCACTATGCTAAGTTTAGATATAACGGTTTTTAAGGTTAGCTTAGGTTATTGTTTTTCAGTGAAGTACCTAATTATGTTGATTATGCATTAGATCAGAGCAGAATGTGTAATTGTCCTTTATTAGTTTAAGCGTGGTATTTGTACTTTTTCAAAATCGAGTGGTCTGAGACCAAAATCTTGGGTCTCAGACCGATATCGGTGGTCTTGGACGGTCTCAGACCACCATATGTGGTCCGAAACCAAGATTTGTGGTCCGGGACCATTGTACGCTTTAATATTTTTTTAAAAAGGGACAATAATACAATCATTCGAACATGCACTAACTACTACCGGGCAAACTACATTAAGAAAGATTATACTAATTTTTCGTAACACCGTTTAATAAGGATATCCACATTTAATCCGAATTATCGGATCAATCCGAATTATCGGATCAATCCGAAGTAGTCGGATTGTGGATCGAAGCACTTATTTTAAATTTTGCTACGTAGGAATTAGTGTTCCCCATACCCGAACCGAATCCGAACCGATGGATCGTGTCGGGTCCATAATTTTTTGGATCCGGCTAATTCGGATCTTGAAATGGACCCGAACCGACCCGGTAGGTAATTAAACCGTTATCATTTAACCAATAAAACTACGAAACTTTTACTCTTTATTGTCATATTGTACAGTTATAAATTCCGGGAAATCTGATAAAATTGCCAAATGATTTTTCAGCCGATTCAATTAAGTTTGCGATTTATTTCGTATCATAAATTTTATCGCGGTTTTCGAAATGGTTGAAATGAGTAAAAAAAAAAAATTCTTTAGTATACCTGTATAGTGCGTATTCTCATATGCCAGATTACCTCAGCACATTGATTTAATATTGATGTTTGATTACATACATGCA